AAAAAAAAAAAAAAAAAAAGGATTCACAGAGAGACATATAAGACCTAAAGAAGGTAGCCGGGTGCAGTGGCTCACGCCTGTAATCCCAACACTCTGATAGGCCTAGGAACATGGACCGCTTGAGGCCAGGACTTCAAGACCAGCGTGGCCAACATGGTGAAACCCCATCTCTACTAAAAATAAAAAATTGAAAAATTGTGGCTTGACACGGTAGGGTCTCATGTCTGTAATCCCAGCACTTGAGAGGCTGAGGCGGGCAGATCACCTGAGGTCAGGAGTTCAAGACCAACCTTATCAGCATAGCGAAACCCCATCTCTACTAAAAATACAAAAATTAGCCAGGAGTGGTGGTGTGTGCCTGTAATCCCAGCTACTTGGGAGGCTGAAGCAAGAGAACTCCAGCCTGGGCCACAGAGTGAGACTCTGTCTCAAAAAATAAAAATAAAATAAAATAAATTTAGCTGGGTGTGACGATGTGTGCCTGTAATCCCAGCTGCTCAGGAAGCTAAGGCACAAGAATCACTTGAACCTAGGACATGGAGGTGGCAGTGAGCTAAGAGCATGCCACTCCACACCAGCCTGGGTGAAGAAGTGGGACTCTGTCTCGAAAAAACAAGTAAGATCTAAAGAAGGCCATGTGACGAGAGAGGCAGAGAGTGGAATAACGCAGTTATAAACCAAGGCATGTCAAGGATTTCCAGGAGCCACCACAAAAGCTAGAAAGAGGCAAGAGAGAATAAATTTATGTTGTTTTGAACCACCAAGTTTACGGTGATTTTTTCCAGTAGCCCTAGAAAAGTAATATATCAGGTCTAATTAGCCTTAGTCTTAGTGTGGGCAAAGAAAGGTTTTCATAGCACCTGGTCTCTGAATCTGTAAAGAAAGACAGACAATTCAAGACTGAAGGATTCTCAAGATCCTAATACATAAACCATGCTATATGGGTCAGTTATTTACAAGGGTTAAACAGTGAATGCGGAATGTGTAATTTACAGTCAACATCCAGCCCTGATCTTGATTTTATCCTTCCACAAAAGTAATACTGCTGATTATTATCTCCATAGCCCTAAAATAACTTCACTCCCTGTTACTGCCCTGACTTGCTTGAATAGAGCAGCTTCAGAGCAAAAGATAAAAAAGTGTACCAAACTCCATTTCAAAACATGTGGCGAAACAAGATATATTTTTAGTTTTTTGTTTCTGTTAAAGTATAAGAAGGGAAAATAGGTAGCAAAGGCTACTGCTAGCTGCTTTTCAGAAAACATACATGGTATCAACAGATGCAATGCTTACCCACATCAGTTCCCTCTTCGAGGACAGCCTTGTTTTGAAGTTCAGGACCTGCGACATCTGTGAAAACTCCATCTTCGTCCACTAAACAATCCTATAAAGTATCATTTTGAACAATTAAAATATCAAGACATTTTCTCTTATGATGATCTGGCAAACCAATATATATAAAACATATAGCCTAGTCCCTCTCTACATTGAAACCCTAGTTACTTGGCTGGGAGCAGGGCTCATTGCCTGTAATCCCAGTACTGTGGGAGGTTGAGGCAGGTGGATCACTTGAGGTCAGGAGGTCGAGACCAGCCTGGCCAACATGGCAAAACCCCATTACCACTAAAAATACAAATACAAAATTAGCCAGGCATGGTGGCATGCACCTGTAGTCCCAGCTACTTGGGAGCCTGAGGCAGGAGAATCACCTGAACCCTGGAGATAGAGGTGGCAGTGAGCCGAGATGGTGCCACTGCACTCTAGTCTAGGACACAGAGTAAGACTCCATCAAAAAAAAAAAAAAAAAGAAATAAGAATGTGTGAATTTTATACATTTAAATCACCAAAGGCAAAATGTGTTATTGAAACATATACATAAACTTAAGTAACAAAATATATTAAAACATCTTTGAATGGTCTCTATTATTTCTAAATCTATGGCAACGTACACAGTTGTTCCCTTTCAGACTCACCTTTTAACTAAATGGAAATACTTGCTAAGTAACTGAAGTGTGTAAGGTAAGTGTAGAAAGGACTGTTTAGCTAAAACAAACACACCTTTTCAGGGAGTAAAAGTAATTTGTCTATGTGACTTAATCCTAGAAAGAAAATATTTTAGAAGTGCCTCATAATATATATTCTTCAATTCTAACGTGCAAATTTTTTCCTGATTCTTGGAAATATTTTTCAATTAGTATGAATTTTTGAAACTTTGGAGTACTACACAACCCTAAGCATGGCACAATTATATGACAAAAGTCATCATTTTTTAAAAATAAAGATGTTGGTTAGAATTTATCATTTCCTTTCATTAAGATGAATTAAAAATGAAAAAAGAAGAACAGTACCGTGGGCAGGTTGTGCTGAGACGCTACACTGTAATCTTCCATACCATGAGCTGGGGCTGTGTGAACCAATCCTGTTCCTTTTGCCATGGTCACATGATTTGCAGGTAAAAGAGGAGAGGCTTTATCAGGAATTAATGGATGACTACAAGTACCATTTTCCAAATCTACACCTGTGGGGAAAGAAAACCACTATTAAGTTTCATTTTATATGGCGAATCTATCTCCTTAAGCTTAACAATAGAATATGAGGTTAAATGTGCAGAATCTAGAACAAGACTGGCTAGGCTCAAATTCCACCTTCCCCTTTAACTTGTCCTGTGACCTTCTGGAATCTATAAAATGCAGATAATTCTGATTCCCATCTCAGAGGGTTGCTGTGAGAATAAACAAGTTAATGTAGTTTCTGTGTTTTGATACTTACTGTATCTACCACTTAATATTCTCTTCCTCACCACCCTCCCAAAAAGATCTCTAAGTAATCAATTAAAAATAATTCATGTTTTTGCCAGGCGCGGTGGCTCAAGCCTGTAATCCTAGCACTTTGGGAGGCCGAGGCGGGTGGATCACGAGGTCAAGAGATCGAGACCATCCTGGTCAACATGGTGAAACCCCGTCTCTACTAAAAATACAAAAAATTAGCTGGGCATGGTGGTGTGTGCCTGTAATCCCAGCTACTCAGGAGGCTGAGGCAGGAGAATTGCCTGAACCCAGGAGGCGGAGGTTGCGGTGAGCCAAGATCGCGCCATTGCACTCCAGCCTGGGTAACGAGAGTGAAACTCCGTCTCAAAAAAATAAATAAATAAAAATTAAAATTAAAAAAAAATAATTCATTTTTTTCTGGAAAGAAAACCTACCCCATATGAATTACTTAATTCTTCAAAATTTCTACTACTTCAATAAGTAGAAAGCTACATGACACCAGCTTATTTTGACAGGGATAAGGAATATATATATAATCCTCCACAATGTGGTGACTCAAATAGCAACTCAATAATTATCTGATACTAAGAATTTGAAACAATTATGTTATATAGACAAAAGATCTTTAAATTCAACCTTAAAACTTTCAAACACCTTATGATTTTTAGCTTCTATGATAACATGTAACTTGCCAATGAATTCTTTTTTTTTTTTGAGACGGAGTTTAACTGTTGTTGCCAAGGCTGGAGTGCAATGGCACGATCTCGGCTCACCGCAACCTCCGCCTCCTGGGTTCAAGCAATTCTCTGGCCTCAGCCTCCCGAGTAGCTGGGACTACAGGCATGCACCATCATGCCCAGCTAATTTTTGTATTTTTAGTAGAGACGAGGTTTCACCTTGTTGACCAGGATGGTCTCGATCTCTTGACCTCGTGATCCACCCGCCTCGGCCTCCCAAAGTGCTGGGATTACAGGCTTGAGCCACCGCGCCCGGCCTGACAATGAATTCTTTAATAGCCTTTGCATTTAAAAAAGAGGCAGGGGGCTGGGTGCAATAGCTTATGTCTGTAATTGCATTCAGGAAGACTGTTTGATCCTAAGAGTTTGAGACAAGTCTGGGCAACACAGCGAGATCCAATCTCTATTTAAAAAAAAAAAAAACAAAAAACGGGAGGGTACAAAGTAAATTATTATTTTGGTTTTTATTTTTATTATCCTATTGCACCAAAGAGGATCAAATCATCTAAAAATTCTTAAGCTCCTTTCCTGTCTTTGACATAAAAATCTTTTTAGTTTTGTTAAGGTTGTTTAAACTTCTCATTGGCTTGTATCTGAACGGATTAATTTGGAGGCTTTCCTATTTAGCTAGGCAGTCTTTCTAGGCAATTTTTGTACCTTTATTTATATGATGGAATTTTTTTTTTTATCATACCTAAGGATAAAAGATAATTTTAGGCCAGGCGTGGTGGCTTACATCTATAATCCTAGCACTTTGGGAGGCAGAGGAAGGAGGAACACTTGAGCTCAGGAGTTCAAGACCTGCCTGGGCAACGTAGTGAGACCTCATCTCTTTAAAAAAATTAAAATAAAATAAAATTCTAGGCATAGTGGCTCATGTCTGTAATCCCAGCACTTTTAAAGACCAAGGTAGGAGGATCACTTGAGGCCAAGAGTTCAAGACCAGCCTGGGTGATGTAGCAAGACCCCATCTCTACCAATAAAAAATTAAAATTAGCCCAGCATGGTGGCACACACTTGTGGTCTCAGCTATTCGAGAGGCTGAGGCAGGAAGATCACTTGAGCTTAGGATCCAGAGGCTGCAGTGAGCCAAGATGGCACCACCGCACTCCAGCCTGGGTGACAGAGCAAGACCACGTCTCAAAAAAAAAAGACCAAAAAATAGTTAATTTTAAACTTCCCTAGACTTCCATAATTATATTTCAAAACCTCAAAAGTCACTACCTCAAAAGTCCCAAATTATACCTCACAAAGAATTCTTCTGGGCCAGGCAGAGTGCTCACAGCCTGTAATCCCAGCACTTTGGCAGGCCAAGGCGGGCAGATCACTTGAGCCCAGGAATTCCAGACCAGCCTGGGCTATACAATAAGAACTTGTCTCTACAAAATATTTTTTCAAAATTAGCTAGGTGTGGTGGCACGTGCCTATAGTCCCAGCTACTTGGGTGGCCAGGGTGGGAGGATCACCTGAGCCCAGGAGTTTGAAGCCACAATGAGCTGACTGGCCCACTGCATTCCAGCATGGGCAACAGAATGAGACCCTGTCTCTTTAAAAAAATAAAATAAAGGCCAGACACGGTGGCTCATACCTATAATCCCAACACTTTGGGAGGCCAAGGCAGGCAGATCACCTGAGGTCACGAGTTCAAGACCAGCCTGACCAACATGGAGAAACCCTGTTTTGACTAAAAATACAAAATTAGCCAAGAATGGTGGTGCATGCCTGTAATCCCAGCTACTCAGAACCCGTGAGACAGAGGTTGCAGTGAGCCGAGACTGCACCAATGCACTCCAGCCTGGGCAACAAGAGTGAAACTCTGTCTCAAAAAAAATAATCAAATAACATAAAATTCCTTTGATAGAAAAACTGCTTTTTGATAATTATCAGAATTTATTCAATTCTCTATTAAAATTATATGCCAAAAAATGAATACATTCATTTCCTTTCTTGTCCCTTTTTATAAAACAGATAAAAACAATTTTAAAAATTAATTTTGCATAAAATGTTACCAAGTAACTATTGGCTATTGCAAGCAATTTTTTTATCTGTTGTACATTTATTAATATTCATATTTTTCTATACTCCTATCATGCTTAATGTATATTCTCCTTTAGTGTAATCCATGTAAAATGTATTCTAGAAAGGTAAAGGCCCTAACTGTTTCAATTCACAATGGGCACTGCTCATCAAAATAGTAAATTCAAGTCAGCCCAGTATTTTGATGACTATGTTGTCAGATATCTAAAAGTCTTCACCTGAAAATGTTGAAATAGTCTCAAACGTTGTTTCCAAAGTAGAAGCAACAGATGCTACTTTATCTGCAGCCAGTATGTAGAGGTCTCCAGACCTAGAACATTTCACAACAGCATACCTAACATAAAATTTTAGGAAAGAATTACCAATCATGAAACAGGAAAAGCCACAGATATCATTTTAATTTTTAAATATCGTTTTAGAAAAACTAACTTCAAGATCAAACTGTACTATTTTCAAAAGACTTCATAACATATGTGCCTATTTCATTTTCCTCAAAAGCTGGATAAGGTCTTAAAAAGGATCATCTAAAGGTTAATAAAATCTATATGAACATAACAACTAAGGTATAATTCATTAAATTTTAAAATAATAAAGAAGATAAAATAAATTCAAAATAATGGTAATGACGGAATAGATTCAATTTGTGGCTAAAATAAAAAATGCAATAATATACCCACCTCGATTCTGGCTTATAGCAAACAGCTTGATTGGCTGGAATTGTCCAAGGCTGTGTGGTCCAGACCAAAAAACTAACAGGAGATGAACCATCTGTGAAAATAAAATTTTAAATATGTTAGCAAATGGGATAATTCTATAACTTTAGTACACTCAAGCTATGAATAAATCTTACCTATAAGAGATGCCAATTTAGGAGAAGGTTTTAAGAGAGGAAATTTTACATATATGGAACGACTGACATGCTCAGGATTATATTGAAGTTCTGCTTCAGCCAATGCAGTCCTAAGGTTTAGAAATATTAAGCATTAATATGTGGAAGCCCCACAAATTTCTCCCTTTTAATGATCAAAAAATGCATATATACCTAGATGAGGGAGACCAAAACACAGGTTTATAAGATCGATAAACCAAGCCCTATAAAAGACAAAATATTATGTTAAAGGTAGGATTTTGTAACACATACTTCAACCTACTCAAAGAAGAAAAAATATCTCTTTACCTTTTCATACATTTGGTAAAAAGTTCTCAACTGTTTGGCTTCATACTTCCCATCAAATGTAAAGTAGCAATTATTCCAATCTGCCATTATTCCCCAACGTATAAATGCTAATTTCTGTTTCTCAATGGCTGCTTTAGCAAATGATCTAGCTGAAAAAAAGAAAAGAAAAGAAAAGCTTCTGAACACCAATGAATTTGAACTCTTATAAACATGGTTTAGCATGTATCTCTCTAAATACAAATGCTACAGACAGTTTAGAATATAAGATTTTTTTTTTTTTTTGAGAGGGGGTCAAGCTTTGCTGCCTAGGCTGCACTGCAATGGCATGATCTCAGCTCACTGCAACCTCTACCACCCAGGTTCAAGCAATTCTCGTGCCTCAGCCTCTGCAGTAGCTGGGACTACAGGCATGCATCACCACGCCCGGCTAATTTTTTTGGTATTTTTAGTAGAGATGGGGTTTCGCCATGTTGGCCAGGCTGATCTTGAACTCCTGACCTCAGGCAATCTGTCCACCTTGGCCTCCCAAAGTGCTGGGATTACAGGTGTGAGCCACTGCTCCCAGCTTATAAAATTTTGTAATAGAAAAATAATATGAAGGTCAACAGTGTTCAGGAGATACCTACAACAAATTCTAAAATTAACTGGAATTGCAAAAGTTAAAATGTTATTACTGTCTTCTGTATTTTCCAGACTTTATACAATGACCTCACATTTAGGAAAAATAAACTAGAAAAATTATTCCTTATTATTTCTTAATTTAAGAAAAGGTCAGATAAAAATTTTCATTTCATTATACACAAAAAATTAATCAGAATATCAAATCTAAGCCAATGATAATATGTTTCACAAGAAAGTAAAAAAACCTTCATAATTATATCCAAATATACAAAGTATAACATATAAGAAAAAGCGAGCCCTCCCTGGCCCAGTGTACAAAGAAAAAAGATTAAATAAGAGAATAATGTAAAATATATGTATTTTAGAATTTACTCGTCTTAACCCCAGAAATAAGTCGGCAAGCCCCCTTGCGGAAAGTTAAAAAAAAAAAAAAAAAAAAATCACAAAAAAAGACTGTATAAAATATGAACATTGAGAAACTGAGAATGCAATTAAAAATGCTCACAAAGTCTTTCTTTCAATATCCAAACATAGGCCGGGCGTGGTGGCTCACGCCTGTAATCCCAGCGCTTTGGGAAGCCAAGGCGGACAGATCACCTGAGGTCAGGACTTCAAGACCAGCCTGGCCAACATGGAGAAACTCCACCTCTACTAAAAATACAAAAATTAGCCAGGCATGGTGGCACATGCCTGTAATCCCAACTACTTGGGAAGATGAGGCAGGAGAATCCCTTAAACCTGGGAGGCAGAGGTTGCCGTCAGCCAAGATCGTGCCATTGAACTGCAGCCAGGGCAACAACTCCATCTCAGAAGTTCTTATAAAAATCAATAAAATAGGCCGGGCGCGGTGGCTCAAGCCTGTAATCCCAGCACTTTGGGAGGCCGAGGCGGGTGGATCACGAGGTCAAGAGATCGAGACCATCCTGGTCAACATGGTGAAACCCCGTCTCTACCAAAAATACAAAAAAATTAGCTGGGCATGGTGGTGCGTGCCTGTAATCCCAGCTACTCAGGAGGCTGAGGCAGGAGAATTGCCTGAACCCAGGAGGCGGAGGTTGCGGTGAGCCGAGATCGCGCCATTGCACTCCAGCCTGGGTAACATGAGTGAAACTCCGTCTCAAAAAAAAAAAAAAAAAAAAAAAAAAAAAAAAATTAAAAAAAAAAGATATACAAAAAAAAAAAAAAAAAAAAAATCTGAATTTTCTGTGACAGAAAGGCATTTCCAATAAATCTCATTATACCCAAACCAAACCAAAACAAAAGGTTCCTTTGGTAAAGCTCTGACTTTTCCAAGGAACCTGTTTACAAATATCATTTTAAAATAGAAATAGACATTATTTTACCTTTCTCTCGAATTTCTATAGCTGAAAGATTCTGAGCTTCTCCACCAAGTTCTGATAATACTTTTACTTCAATGGGCAACCCATGACAATCCCAGCCGGGCACAAAATGTATTTTGGAACCAGTCATCATATGGAATCGATTGGCTATGTCTTTCAAAATCTGCAAAGATAAAATTATAATTATCATTCATACATATAACATTTGGCCTACAATTTAGATTTTTTTAAATTTAATCCCATTTTAAAAACTGCAATTTGAAAAGGAAATATATAAACTAACTTTTATTAAAAACTATTAACACAAATAGCCTAATATTATTTATATTGAGCTAAGAAGTATGATCGGATCATTGCAGAACTTACAGTGTACTCAGAGAATGGAATATTATGGTTAACTCTGTCATTGACAAAACCCTTACTAATACAGTAGACCTCTTCGTTAGGTATAGTTTTAGAACTAATTTACCTTTTTAAGTTCATTTTAAATACTAGAGGGCAGCAGAGCCTTTTTAAAAATGTATCACTATAGTAGAATGGGGGAATCAAAGGCAAAGACTAGACTTGGCTCCAAAAGCTCAATTTCCCTCTTCCCAAGAGGAAACAGTGCTCTGACCACTAGCCCAGTAGTCCAGAAAACAATTTCCTCCTTTCCATACCTATCAAAAGTCAAAAAGATATTATGTTCTTCTCCCATCTCTTGCCCTCTTTAAAAACTCTAATTTCAAACTGTTTACTAGTGAACATGAAGGAGCCTTGTAATCTGAGTGGTTGTCACATTAAAAAAAAATTATCAGAGGCTGGGTGTGGTGGCTCACGCCTGTAATCCCAGCACTTTGGGAGGCCAAGGTGGGCAGATTACAAGGTCAGGAGATCGAGACCAGCCTGGCCAACATGGTAAAATCCCACCTCTACTAAAAATAGAAAAATTAGCTGAGCATGGTAGCATGCGCCTGTAATCTCAGCTACCTGGGAGGCTGAGGCAGGAGAATCACATGAACCCAGGAGTTGGAGGTTGCAGTAAGCCAAGATAGTGCCACTGCACTCCAGCCTGGGAGACAGAGTGAGACTCCATCTCAGAGAAAAAAAAAAAATTATCTAGCTATATATACTTAAGATTGGTATACTTTACTCTGGGTAATTATTTAAATCAATCGTCATATAAATAACCTTCTTTCTACTTATCTCTTTGGAAATTGTCTATTTATTATCTGTCTCTTCTCTGTAAAACATAAGCTCCATGAGCTCAGAGAGCCCATCTTTCCTCTTCACCCATGAATTCCAGCATTTGAAATAGTTTCTGGCACTATTCTGTAAATATTTATCAAATACATGAATGCATGCATTCATCATATATACTCTAAGCCATGGTATCTTATACAGTAGCCACTGGCCACTGTATTTTTGGTGCTAGTCCAAATTCAGACGTGATTTAAATTATGAAATATATACCCAATTTCAAACATGTGTTATGAAAAAAATGTGATATATCTCAAAAAATTTTATTATTATTATACTTTAAGTTCTGGGGTACACGTGCAGAACGTGCAGGTTTGTTACATAGGTATACCCGTATCACGGTGGTTTGCTGCACCCATCAACCTGTCATCTACATTAGGTATTTCTCCTAATGCTATCCCTTCCCTAGACCCCCACCCCACGACAGACCCCAGTGTGTGATGTTCCCCTCACTGTGTCCACGTGTTCTCACTGTTCAACTCCTACTTATGAGTGAGAACATGTAGTGTTTGGTTTTCTGTTCTTGTGTTAGTTTGCTGAGAATGATGGTTTTCAGCTACATCCATGTCCCTGCAAAGGAGACATGAACATGCATATTTCTATCATGTGTCAACAAAACAAAAAATGTAATAAACCATATCTTGGGTCATAAAAATAAAACTCAACAAATTTCAAAGAACTGGAATCAGGCTGGGCGCAGTGGCTTACGCCTGCAATCCCAACACTTTGGGAGGCCAAGGCAGGCAGATCATGAGGTCAGGAGTTCAAGACCAGCCTGGCCAATATAGTGAAACCCCATCTCTACTAAAAATACAAAAAATGGGCCAGGCGTGGTGGCTCACGCTTATAATCCCAGCATTTTGGGAGGCCGAAACAGGTGGATCACCTGAGGTCAGGAGCTCGAGACCAGCCTGACCAACATGGAGAAACCCCTAAAACTACTAACCTACAAAACTAAAACTACAAAATTAGCTGGGCATAGTGGCACATGCCTGTAATCCCAGCTACTTGGAAGGCTGAGGCAGGAGAATAGCTTACACCTGGGAGGCAGAGGTTGCAGTGAGCCCGAGATTGCGCTAATGCACTCCAGCCTGAGCATCAAGAGAAAAAAAAAAAAAATTAGCCAGGCATGGTGGTGAGTGCCTGTAATCCCAGCTAGTCAGGAGGCTAAAGCAGGAAAATCGCTTGAACCCAGCAGGCGGAGGTTGCAGCAAGCCAACATCCTGCCATTACACTCCAGCCTGGGCAACAGTTCAAGGCTCCATCTCAAAAAAAAAAAAAGAACTGAAATCATAGAATATGCTCTTCTTCCATAATGGATTAAAATGAATAAGGGAAGGATAACAGCAAGATCTTCAAACACTTAAGAACTAAACAAGACACATATGAGGCCAGGCACAGTGGCTCACACCTGTAATCTCAAAATTTGGGATGTCAAGGGCAAGAGGATGACTTGAGGCCAGAAGTTTGAAACCAGCCTGGCTAATATAGCAAGAATTCGTCTCTACAAAAAATAAAAAAAGTAAATAAAAACTATAAACAGCACACATGTAAAAATTTCATGAATCAGAAAGGAATTTCCAAGGAAAATTTTTGTTGTACTTGTTGAAACACGGTCTCACTCTTGCCTGTAGGGGGGAGACCCCGTAAGTGCCTAGGCAGGAGCCAGAAGCCTCAGCCTATTTCCATATAAATAATGAAGAAGAAAGTAACTAGAAATATAATCGTAGTAGTTATTAGCTATTCACAGGTGATCTTAGTTACTCATAGTTACTAATTCTTTTATTAATACCTCTTAGGTCGGAAGCAAACCTGGGGTGATATTGTGAAAGAAATGACACTAAAGCAAGATGCTTTAAGCCCTCTGTCACGCTGGCCTGCGTAAGGGCTGCTGGAGGGCGTCTCAGCTGTGCCGCTGCGCCAGTGCTGGGAAAGTGCCCACTGTTTAGCCAGCTAGGGAAGGAGATGTCCAAGATGACCAAGACATCTTCTTCCTCGGGGGGGGGGTTAGAAAAAAACTCCTCCAAGCTCTTGTGGTAGGCCTGACGCTGTCAGGTAGGCCCCAGGCATCCAGGGGCTTAAATGTCTCTATGTGATACTGTGCTTCAGTGGTCACATTCCATGTCCACTCTCATGTTCCACTTCTCTACCTGGTTCCTTTTTCCTCAGAAGAAATAATCAGTAAAAGTAACGTAAATCTTAATGTTTTTATTCTTTCTTAACAAGTACAGAAAAAGTGCTGACACATTATGTTCCTTACCTCATCTTGGCAACCTGAAAGCCTTGGGCCCCCGCCTATATGACACGTGATGTACCTGACCCTATCACTGACCACCAGTGCCATGCCCTACCTACCCTGCCCCCAGCTTTGTACTCAATAAAAGCCAGAGCGTCCAGGCACTCGGGGCTACTGCTGGACTCCACGCTTTGGTTGGCAGTGGACCCTGGGTCCCAATCTCTCTTTTCTCTATCTCTGTGTCTTGTGTCTTTTATTTCTACAATTTCTTGTCTCCACACCAGCAGAGAGGGCCTCACAGGACCCTGTAGGGCTGGACCTTGCAGTCTCCCAAGCTGGAGTACAGTGGTGCGATCATGGCTCATTGCCACTTTTGACTTCCCAGGCTCAAATAATTCTCCAACCTCAGCTGAGACTAGAGGCGCATGCCACCATGTCCAGCTAATTTTTGTTTTCTTAGCAGATACAGGGTTTCACCATGTGGCCCAGGCTGGTCTGGAACTCCTGGCCTCAAGTGATCCGCCTGCCTTGGCCTCCCAAATTGCTGGGATTAAGGCGTGAGCCACTGCACCTGGCCTCAAGAAAATTTTAAAAACACAATCAACTGAATAAAAATTGAAGTACAACATGTCAAAATTGGTGGGGCACAGCTAAAGCAGTGCTGAAAGGAAAATTTATAGCATTAAAGTGCATACATTAGAAAAGGGATGCCTGTCAATAGTGTAAAATTCCACCTCAAGAAACTAGAAAAAGTGGGGCAAAATGAACCCAAAGCAAGCAAAAATAAGAAAATAAAGATAAAAGCCAGCTGGGCACTGTGGCTCATGCCTGTAATCCCAGCACTCTGGAAGGCCAAGGTGGGTGGATAACTTGAGGTCGGGACTTTGAGGCCAGCCTGGCCAACATGGTGAAAACCCATCTCTACTAAAAATACAAAAATTAGCCAGGTGTGGTGGCACACACCTGTAATCCCAGCTACTCAGGAGGCTGAGGCACGAGAATTGCTTGAACCCAGGAGGCAGAAGTTGCAATGTGCCATGATCGCACCACTGCACTCCAGCCCGGGCAACAGAGCAAGACTCTGTCTCAAAAAAAAAAAAAAAAAAAGGTGAAAGCAGAAATCAGCAAAATTTAAAACAGAAAAAAAAACAACGAAACAAAGTCTGACTTCAGGAACGATAGCATGAGAAGCCATGTGGCCCTGTTTCCTAGTAAAATTGGTAAAAATTATTTTTAAAAACAACCATTTAGGGCTGGTCACAGTGGCTCACACCCGTAATCCCAGCACTTTGGGAGGCCGAGGCAGGCAATTCACAAGGTCAAGAGATCAGGAACACCCTGGCCAACATGGTGAAACCCCATCTCTACTAAAAATAGAAAAACTAGCTGGGCGTGGTGGCGTGTGCTTGTAGTCCCAGCTACTCAGGAGGCTGAGTTAGGAGAACTGCTTGAACCTGGGAGGCAGAGGTTGCAGTGAGCCAAGATCGCACCACTGTACTCCAGCCTGGCACCTGGCAAAGCAGCGAGACTCTGTCTCANAAAAAAAAAAAAAAAAAAACAACCATTTAAAGCCTCTGGAATTGATCCTAAAGTTATACACCAAATGAAGAAACAACTATATAAGACAAATCTTCAAAAACTAGGTAAGAAAAGTGAGTGTCTATGGTATTTGACCCAAGACACTCCCTCTCTCCTCTGTACCAGTTAGTTCAAAGAAGCCAAGGCTGCTGTAGCCTAGAACACAAGGTTCCCTATTCTCCCAGCTCCCAGTCTAGGCCTATCTTTCCGAGGAGGGGCAGGACATCAAAACGTCTCCTCCTTCCCCAGCTACCTGCTGCTACCTATTCCCCAGCTAAGTTCTGGGCAAGTGTAGTCAGGAGGCAGAAGCTCCCTTTCTTCACTCAGTCCTCAATCATGGAACAGTGTGCATCTGCTGGGAATACCGGAAGTCCAGTCATCCTTGTCCTCACTCATAAGATGGTGGTTCCATACCAGGAGAGGCCACTCAAGAGGACCTCATGCTACCATGCTACTGCCCACCCCATAAACACCTGACTCCTAAAGTGGGAGTGTACCTCATAGACGTGCACAGTTGTTCCTACTCCAGAGCCCTGACTGGAAGACACTGCCGGACTGGAAGAGAAGCAGGCAATAAAATGAATAATTCCTAAACTCTTCCCATTGTTAGAGTATTCAGAAGTTCAGGCCTGATGGGGCTCTTAGAAGAAACAGTGAAAGCTGTAGAAAAAGGCAATTAGAAGATCCATAGGTTCAAGATGATACAGGCTAACCTATAGGCCACATAGCCTGGAGGAGAGAGCCATGGAGAGAAACAGCTGAGAGAAGCCCTCCTAGGATCAGAACAAATACCAGACACTGACCTTAAGAACTAGTCCTTCAAAAGACCTCAAATTTGATTTCTATTAGTCTACGCAGCAGTTTATGCCCCAGGGAATTGTTGAAAACAACAGAGTCAAGAGCTGGAAAATTTCAGAGCTAAATACATTGGTGTTGTCAGGGAAAGAGAGGATAGGAGCACTGCCAAAATCACTGTCATCCCAGGGTGACTGTGGACATACCCAAAGCCATGCCTCCCTGAGAATCAGAGGCTTACCACAAGGGAAGAATGGGAGGAGGCAGAAACAGACTTCATGAAAATACTACAGCCAGTCACAAGTAAATAACAATTACAAGCTCTGAGAGGTGGGAGAGACCAGTATTCAGATTTACTACATCTAAAGTGCCCAATTTCCAACAAAAAAATTACAAGACATACAAAGAAATACAAAGTATGACACACACACTGGAAAAGAAAGCAGAAAATAGAGGCTGGGAGCGGTGGCTCACTCCTATAATCCCAGCACTTTGGGAGGCAGAGACAGGTGGATCACAAAGTCAAGAGATCAAGACCACCCTGGCCAACATGGTGAAACCCCATCTCTACTAACAATGCAAAAATTAGCTGGGTGTGGTGGCATGCACCTGTAGTCCCAGTTACTCAAGAGGCTGAGGCAGGAGAATCGCTTGAATCCGGGAGGCAGAGATAGCAGCCGAGATCATGCCACTGCACATTGGCCTGGTAACAAAGTGAGACTCAGTCTCACAAAAAAAAATAGAAACTACCTATAAAAGTAATCAGATGTCAAATGTTACAGAAAAAGACTTCAAAACTGACATTATAAATGTTCAAAGAACTAACAGAATCCATGATTAAAGAGATAAAGGAAGGTATGATGATAATGTCACATCTAACAGAGAATATCAATAAAGAAATAGAAATTTTTTTTTTTTTTTAAAAGACCCAAAATGGTCGGGCTCAGTGGCTCATGCCTGTAATCCCAGCAATTTGGGAGGCCAAGGCAGGCAGATCACAAGGTCAGGAGTTCGAGATCAGCCTGACCAATATGGCAAAACCCTGTCCCTACTAAAAATACAAAAATTAGCCAGGCATGATGGTGGTAATCCCAGTTATTCAGGAGGCTGAGGGAGGAGAATTGCTTGAACTCGGGAGGCGGAGGTTGCAATAAGCCAAGATTGCGCCACTGCACTCCAACCTGGGCGACAGAGCAAGACTCCGTCTCAAACAACCAAAAAAAAAGACACAAAACGAAAAATTCAATGGAGAGGTTCAACAGTAGATACAATCTAACAGAAGAAAAAATAAACTTAAGTTAGATCAATAAATACTGTATAATCCAAAGAATAATAACAAAACTAAACAGAGCCTCAGAGCCATCATTACACACATCATTCAGCATACCAACAAATGCATAATGAGAGTTTCAGAAGAAAGGAAAGAAAACAGAGGCAGAAAAAATATCCAAAGAAATAGTAACTGAAAATTCCTCAAATGTATTGAAGAACATTTGAAAATTTCTCAAATGTATTAAACAACACCAACCCATACATCCACAAAGTTCAATGAACTCCAAGAAGGAAAAAACACAAAGAAATGGAAAAACTTGGAAAGATATTTTAATTTATTATATACAATGCATCGTTATAAGTTCCATCACTTTAGAAAAGATTGAGTATTGCTTAGAGCACAGTAAAAAGGTGCAAGTTAGAGACTTTGGGAGGCCAAAGCAGGTGAACTGCTTGAGCCCAGGAGTTCAAGACCCACCTGGGCAACATGGCAAAACACCATCTCTACAAAAATTACAAAAACTAGCCAGGCATGGTAGCCTGCACCTGTGGTCTCAGTTACTTGGGAGGCTGAGGTGAGAGGATAGCATGAGCCCAGAAAATTGAGGCTGCAGTGAGCTATGATTGTGCCACTGCACTCCAGCCTGGGTAAGAGAAAGAGCCTGTCTCAA